GGCGGGGGCCCGCCTCTTGCGGTCCTGGGCAAGCTCCCGGGAGCCACCAGCCTGGTCCCGGGAAGAGGGGGAGGGCTGGGGGTATCGGGTGGGTAGCTCGATCCGTGCCAGGTGCAGGGTCTGCTGGCTGGGTGCTGACAGGCTTGCACCTGGCACGGGCACCATAGCCAGCCCGTGTCCCTTTAAGGGGTCCGGGGCCAGGAGGGGGGCAGAAGAGTTTCCCTGGTGTTGGCCAGAGTGGCCACCCGGGGAAACGCCACCAGGGAAACCTGGGGAGGGCTAGCCTCCCACTAGTTCGAATTAAGGGTCTACACAGCCCTTAATTCGAACTAGTAAGTTCGAACAATGCTTAATCCTCATGGAATGAGGATTACCTAGTTCGAACTAAGTGCTCCGTTAAATTCGAACTAATGCAGCAGACGTTAGTTCGAACTAACTTTTTAGTGTAGACATACCCTAAGATATTTTGGGATCTTTCTGGATGAAAAGGACTACACAAATATATAATCAGAAGTGTCTCTATTAAAACAAAACAACAAATATAGGTACAGATGCAGGAAAACACGTAAGCAAATGTTAAACTTTAAGCATGACCATGAACACTACTGACTTCAATGGCTCTGAAAACTATGTCCAATTGCTTTCCTGAATCATGCCCACGGAAAGCAAAAAATTACATAAAGATATAGATGGGCCATTTTCTGTCTGCTGTGCTTGAATGAGCAGGCCCACTGAAATCAACATGGCTACTCACATAAGACGATCAGAATAGTGGAGCTAGCAGAAATTAGCAGCATTGGAAGTTTATAAGCTCATCATGATCGATCACCTTGATTGTTTTCTGATGCAATTACAAAATTAGTAAAAGAGAGGTAGCCGTGTTAGTCTGAAAGTTTTTCCTTTTGTTTTAGCAAAATTAGTAAAGGAAGAGAAGACAGTAGCTGTGATACAGTTGAATTTCATGGAGCATGATTCATTCATTTAAAGTGAACTTGGCTGGCCATAGGAAAGTGGTTGAATGAACATAAGTAAAAGGTAATAAGGGCATTCAACGCCGCTCTCCCTACGCTGGGCTATCAAGCCACTGCCCTTCTGATTTCTGAAAATGCACTTCTTTCACACTGCTCATCATATGCGAGTTACTGTGACATGAAGGAAACTCACATCTGGATGCAGAATCTCTCTGTTATTTTTCAGTACTACATTGGGAAGCAGAGGTAAAGTCTTGATCTGGGAGGTGACAAGTTCAGGATGTCTGGAAATCTAAAATCTCTCATACAGGCTCAGGCTCTGAAGATCATTCTGTAAGACCTCATGGAATACTCTTGGAATCACATGGAGAGAGGGTAATCATATGATGATGACCATAAATCATGAAATTAGGAATGCCTCAAGCAGAAAACCTCTAGATGAGAACAGACCCGATACTTCTTGTTTTGTCATGCACAGGTCCACTAGAAGATGGCCCCATCAGAAAAGATGTTCTGAAGAATGCTATTCTTGATTTCCCATTCACAAGGGGGGGGGGGGGGCAGAAAGTGTCTGCTAAAATTGTGCACTAAAGTGTTCTACATACTAGGTAAATGTTAAGCTAATACAAAGTTTTGATATCTGTAGCACTAATTTCTAGTCTTATGACTTTCTGGTAGAGAGAAGGGGGAAAAAACCCTCATGCCATCCTTCTATTGGTGTAAAATATTGGTCATTATTTAATTATCTATTCTTTTATTTATTGGTGAATGGATCTGAAAACTTCAAACACAGCTCTGAGCTCCAGAAGGTTGATATGCATTTTTGTTTACATTGCAGTCCATAGACCTTGTATGCTAAAGTCTTCCATGCACATTCCTCAACCCAGAAGCAAAGCATCCATTAATATTGTCCTGGGTGCATGACGGGCATGCAAGACGACCTCTCTGCAGGCTTTTGTGAGGTCCCTCCATAATTTCAGGACCTCTCTGAGAGGCTTGGCTAGATGATTTCAGTTTCAGTTTCAGCTGCTGTGGCAGTTGGGACTGAGTGCCTGACCTTTGTTCCCTTGCTTGCCTCTGGTCAGCCTTCCCGTGTGTGACTCACGAGGGGGCAGGTCTGACCTAGGCGAGCAGGCTTTACAAGCCAGAGGCAGAGCGACCAGGGGAGCAAGGCGGACAGGGGGCTGTACACAGGGGAGTTTAAGAGGGAGTTTGAAACAGGGAGGTCTACGATGGTTAGGAAGACCCGCAACACCTGTGCCAGCACTGCTTCTGTCTCTTCCACCTGCGCCTGTAGCCAGACAGAGTGCCTGAGCATGGATGCCTCTACCCAGATCCTGGTGTGGTTTTCCTGGGATTGTGACTAGCAATTTCCACTTACTGATATCCAGGCTGGGGAGACCATCCGATGTGAAAGGTGCCTGCTGGTGGAATCTTTCAGGCAGCAGGTGGGAGAGCTACAGGAGGAGGTGGCTAGTTTGAGGAGCATCCAAATCCACGAGCAATTCCAGGACAGTGCTCATGTGGAGGCAGCTGAGGTTACTGTCCCAGTACACAAGACTGCTGACACATCACTGGTGGAGGAGGAGACGACTCAGAGTGGACACTGGCAGCTGGTTACTTCTGGCAGCAAGCAGTGCTCCACCCCTGCTCCGAACCCTCCCGCCATGATACTAGGAAACCATTATGCTCTTCTTGATACAGGAGATAAGGAATCACCCCCTACAACAGAGGAGGAGAAGCCTCATATCCCCAAGGCTGAGAGGTCTGCTGCCACCACTGCGAATAGGAAACGTAGGGTAGTGGTGGTC